ATATGTATATATATAATACATCAATAAAAGACGCTCTTACACTGTGATGGACGTGCTAAGCTTCCGATAATATTATAGTAGGATTAACAAGTATTGAATCCATTCAGTTTTCATTGTTGTTTGCTCGACGTTTCTGACTTGTTGTTATTAGACTGTTAATACCACGTAAGCCCAAATGAAGAAATTTCTTGTATTTACTGGTTGTATATCACAAATGTAAAAAAAGCCGAATATAAAGTATTATAAAATTAAATAAAGTATATAAAAGATATACGATGTATCTCTCTCAGTGTGGATATTATTAATTTTATATATTTAGTTAACAAATTGAAAAAGAACACAGCCTCGACTATTATTAAATCTCATGATATTATTAAATTTTCCGTCATGCCTGCGCCGTTTTACTCGGTGCTGCAGGTGCTGCCCGCGCTATATTTTATTACATTAAATCATACTGGAGATACAATTACAATTTCTGTCTTTAGAAGGCTTTGCACGTTTCCTCTTATTCAGCGACCTATTTCGAGAACGTCCCTACCATCCGTCTTGGCAAGGCCGACAGTACGAGAAAATTTAATGAACGTGACTAGATCTTATCGAAGCGCGGCAGGAGAATGGCAGAGAAGTCAACTTGGAACTGGGAGAGATTGGCACCGCGCACCGCGCGCAGTTTATATAAGACAGACCTGACTTTTACGAATTTTCGATTCTCGCGCCGTAAAGCAATCCGCTGCAGTTTGCTTCATTCTTTTTCCGTCTCCACCGTCGAATAAGAATTACTCACCACGGTTACTCTTGTAATTTAACTTGAATTTGTATAAATTGCTGTACACAACTTTCCTCGAAGCATTGTTCAAGTTCGCAATTTTCCACGTAAATTTAAATAGCGTTAAATAGCTTCTCGGTGTTTTCTCTCTCCCTGCAGGTTTTACAATTTACTACCGATATCTTAATGGAAGGTAAACCGGCAATTTGCGGTTCTACGGGAGAGCTTGTAAAAAATCGAAGCAAATACGAGTCCCAAATGAACGGAGCGCGCGGACGGGAAACGTTAAGTTATAACCGAATTTACCGACGTCTACTTTAGAGTGTTTACGCCTCTCACGAGAATACCCCGGATACCGGACGATTTGCATCGTTAGATTTTAATTACGCATAAGTTCCGGGCACATTAAGAGTCGGGGGGCCAGAGCGAAAAAAGGAAGGGGAGAAAAACGGGATAAAAACCTGAGTTTCAAGTACATTAAAGCATCTCGCGGGTTTCCTAGGAGATTCGACGTAGACAAACGGTCGGATTACTTCTCTCGCGAAGCGAAAAGCGCGGCCGGGTAGAACGCGGAGCTACTCCTCTTTTTTTTTTGTTTTTAAAGCCGACTGAGTTGCCGACCAGGGGCTTAATCAGTTGTTAGCCCAACCTGGCCAATTGAAAGTTGGCGAAAATTAAAGAGAGCTTCGAGGGGACGTATCCGGGCTAATCTCCCAAGGGACTCGCGATTCGCGCGAGCGATTAAACCAACGTCGCAAAATGAGAAAAGAAGTCGTACTAGGAAGTTACGCTCTCGTACTCGGCGTTGTCGTAAAACTAGCCGGTTTCTCGCAGCGTGCAATGCCGCTCTGTAAATTGCGGCTCTCATATGTTGTGCTTTCTGCCCCTCGCTGCGTCGCGGTGTGTTCACGTAAAAAGTCCACCGTACGGACGACTTTAATTTACGTCGTCCACTGGCAACGATAGCACGTCTGAGACTAAAAACTATTTCGCTCGCGCGTTTGGTAAATCTGATTAAATGCGGCATTGCACTCGCCTCTAAATTGCTCGCCTGAGACGTTAACGCTGCATCTCATACTACACGTTGGTAATATATACTTTATGATAGCCGCGTCCGAGGAAATAACAACAAAATTGCTCGATTATAAAATGCAGGAGAATTTTGTAGTGCATATAGTTATCTTACTTTGAATAAATGCAAGTAAAAATGTTTTTCTTTTCTGTGAATAGTTTATGTTTTTAAGTAGGACCACCACCTCGCATATGTGGTTACGTCATTCATTAATATGTTATATCCCCAACAATTTTTGTATGGCTTACCGTGTACGCCACAATAGAATTTTCATTATCACGAAGAATAATAAAATATCGTGTAACATCAAATAAGATTAAGCTCACGAATAGTATGAATTGTGTGCTTTATATGTTATTATCTATTATAGCTATTCAAAATTTTATATTATTGGAACACTACAAAGCGCGCACTTCGCGTGCGCCATTTATTCTCGACTATTATATATATTTAATAACGCGTATGAGATTTAATCTTCACAATTATTTGACATCACGTATCAAGATAACCAAAATTAATTACGATAACCTGTCATTTGTGAGTTGTCGAAACACGATTCCGGCGTTGACACAGTTATTCTCGCAGCACAGAGCGCGATGGAAATAATATTTATTTTTTTACAAGTGTCTAAAAATTTTTGAAAGCATCGGCCATCAGTAATCATGGCGATCGACGGTATTAAACGCGTTGTATCGTATATCAGAGATTTTCAAATGCTATAAAATCGTTTTCTTTGCGTGGCGCAATAACCGCTTGCGTCCTACCAGATTTTTCAACGTTACGAGGCCACTAATTGAAGCGGTTACCGCATGGTTCCTTGTTACAGAGGCACCTCGTGGGACGTATCTGCTGATAGATGGCCGCCGGCTGGATCCCGGAAACCAGTTTGTGCCGGTGAAGGAAGGCTCGGAGCTTACTCTCGAATGCGCAGCCGAGGGTGGAAACCCACCGCCCATCTTGGCGTGGGGCATGACCTTGTCTCAAGCCACTTTAGACGGCCCGGAACAACCGCCAGACAACCTCACCGTGTTGCCCTCAACATCCGGCAGGCGCAGCGGGGCTCACCTAAAGGTCTTGAGGGGACATCACAACGCCACCATCGTTTGTGTCGCCCGCCACATTACGCTGATGATACCGATGAACGCCAGCATCCTGCTCGACGTCCAATGTGAGTATTGACGATACGAAATTGCATTAGCTATTACGTTCGAGATAATCGCGTTCTAATGCGATGAACGGAATTCATATTTTATTTATTTTTAAAAAATTTTTTAAATAAATTTAAAAGAGCGATTCTTTTCTTTAATAAAATATTGAAGTCATTTTTGTTAATTTTTAATTTTTATTGAGTTTCTTAAGTAAGGACACTTCAAGTGTTATTTCTACCACAATTAAGTTGACCAAAGTCAACCGAATAACAAAGTTTTGTCTGTCTACATCTGTTTACTTCTGTGAAGAGATTTTTTTTCAATCTTTTGGTTTAAAATATCCGTGTAATTAGACTTCTCCGAAAACTCACAACAAACCGGCACAAAAACAACAGAAAATAATCAGCAGTTATCATACATATGCATGAGCTTAAATTGCGTTTTGAGATAGAGCGAGCGCGAAGTAATTCGTTTTTGCTCAGGGATCGACGGGCACGAGCCGGTGGGATTTCCGCGATATTAAACCTAGTTGCACCATCGTGTCGGAAATGAGTACAACAAGTAACGCGTGTGTCGCGTCGAGGGCGGCAGACGAGCCGCCCGCCCATCGAAACTAAAATATAAACTTAATTAAGTCTGAATCCGACGGTACTCGCGACTTGTTTTAAGCAATTCTGCGAACCGGGAAGAAGCGGCTCCCGCGTTGTATTTGAGGTGCGACGACCGTGTTACAAGAGCGGCGGTAGAAAGGGGTTGCGGTGACGGCGTTGGGGAGAGTTGGAAAAGCGAGTGACTCCAGGGGTGACGCCGTGCATTATGCGACGTGGAGGTAGTTTATTTTGCGTCGTTGCGCCTCTTTCGCCACTCTCGCGGTCTCGGAAAGTCTCCCCCGACTCGCCCTTCGCTACCCCTGCTTTAGGGAGTGGTCCAAGTCGCCGAAAGAAGCTCCTTCAGCCGGTTTCGAGCCAAACTCCGAGGGATTAACGGGAGTTCCGCAGCGCGCGGACAAAAACTGGTAGAAGCGTGCGCGAGCGCGCGCTCGCGCCACCCCCTGCGCTCTTTTTATCGCGCGTCGCCTCTTCGGGCGTTTAGGGGAGGCTCGTCGAGGCGAGACCGCGAAGATATATCACCCGAAACTGGTTTCCTCCGCCTTCTCCTCTTCTTCAATTGGAGAACTTCTCGGGCATCTCGTTTTCGCTCCTGCGAGTTATAGAGTAGCGCGTATTCGCGACTCCTCTCGATCAGAGTTTCCCAAATTAAAAGTAAATTAGAAGTGATTTTTTTTCAAATATCTGATTTGAAGTTAGAAGAAATATATCGTACACAGAAAATTTGAAAATGTCAATTTTGAATAATTAATAATATAGTTCTTGGAAAAGTGATGTTGCATTATGACTAAGCTGCAGTCTTATAGGGAAACGTTATTTTAATTTCAATAGCTTTACGAATGTCTGCATTTAGGCGTCCTTTCGCGCGAACCACAGTTTGGGAAACCCTACTCTAGATTATACGGAGACCGCCTTGAATTCCGCCGTCGCGGACAGTTTTTCTTTGTGGTGGGTGTAAGGGGAGCTCATTGTACACCGACATTATTTCGCTCTTTTAATTCTTTCGCGCCTGTCCGAATGCCACGTCGTCCGGCGGCCTGAGGCTGAACGAAAACTTACTCCGCGAAGGAGAAAGTTCGCTGCGAGTCGTTTAACCGCTGGAGAAAAAGGCGACGAGATATACCGAGACACGTGAATTTTCCGTCGGGGACTTTCAAGGACACCGCCGCGCCGATCGACTACGTGATTAATGTTGCCTTCTCTTACAATTAATGAACTTCAATGCTCGTCTTGGAAATGATATTTAACAAATGATAACTATAGTTTATTTTATATTTATCGTAGAGCATTAGATCTTTCAGAAAACACGGTATAAAATAAAAAAGAAATAGCAGACGATTTTCAATTATTTTATTTAAGGGAGTATTTTGGTTTGAAAGGTTGTAAAAAAGGTATTTTTTAGAAATTTTTTGCAGGGAAACGAAAGAAGCGAACAACGCTAATCTTTGTTCTTTTAGCCTTATTTTATAAATTTAATAAATTTAATAAAAATATATTTTTAAAATAAGGCTAAAAGAACATGCAATGTTTAACGTTATTCGCTTCTTTCGTTTCTCTACAAAAAATTCCTGAAAAAATACCTTTCACACCAGAATACTCCCTTAATATTCATCGCAATTTTTCTCCAACTTGCTTTGTGAAAATCTTCGCGTTCGTCGTCGGATTTGTGGCGGTGCGGATACCTAATTTCAAAGACGATACGGGCGTGAGCAGTCGGGCTGAAACGTCTCGAGGATGCAAATTTTCTAGGCGAACAGCTTGCATGCTCAACGTCTTAGAGCGAAGACAGGATGCGGGTGCCTTACGGGCGATAGTGATATCGTACGGATCAGCCGTACGTCCTTCCTCCGTCTTTCTCCCTTACTTTTTTGTCGCGAATTTATTTCAACCGTATTTACGTACCCCGGCTGTCGTGCCGGAGACAGGACAGAGGAGGTACATTTGTCGGCATCTGAGCGAGCAAATTTTCCGGTAGGACGGTCGCCAAAGGCGCCAAGGCTGTCCTGGGACGCCTTTATGACGCCGGGGTGAAAGGGGAACCCACATGGTGACCCACTTCCATATCGTCGTGGCGCATCGTCGTTTGTCATTACGCGTAATGCAAGCTATTACCGGTTGTCATCGCCGGGCCCCTCCCCTCTGTTCCATATCGAATAAATGATTTTACTTTTAAATCGTACCGCGGCCGACAACGCGATTAATCATCGTGGCGCGCGTTTGTCGCCCCCCTACGACCTACGAGTCGAGTCGCGCGCGGTCGCAGCTATTTTACATAAGTTCGACTCTCCCGGCCGGAGTATTCGATTTGTACTTGCCGGCGACGGCCGGAAAACGCGATCGGATTCACCATAAATCACACTGATTTTTGGCGACATTCGTTATTTGCAACTGACCCGAATACGCGCGGCGGCAACTTCCGGTACGGGTCCCTTCCCGGCCTGACAGCGCGCTATGAATATGTAGCGAGCGTAGCCGTAAAATTGTAACCACGGTTGGATACACGAGCGAGCAAGACGAGCTTCATCTCAATGTACATTCTAATCGATCTACGCGCGGCGCGCGTGCTCGCTTCGTTAAATCGAAGATTCGCGCTGTGAATTATGTAGAAGTTTGGATAAAAAAGCTTATTGTTCTTTTATGCGGTAATTGACAAAGTATCGTCCAACTTTATTCATCTTAATTCTTAGCAGATATCGCCGAAACTTCCAACTTCGACCCTCTTGGGCTTTTATGATACAAATTATAAAAATTGATTAAATTATTCGTTGTCTCAAAAGTCCAGATATTTAAATCAATGCAGTGTACGACCAATAGCTATTTTATTTTTATCGATATTGTCGAAATAATTTATCTAATTTGAATTTTTAGATATTGTGTAATGTAATAGAAGGCTATTTTATATGTTCAGATACATTATTGGTGTTTCTATGCAGCGTAAAGATTTGTAAAAAGAAAACATTATTCTCATGGAGATATAGTCTTGCAAAGCTCTGTATTAAGTCGTCAGTTATGATAACAAATAATAACACTTGTACGTATTTACACTTGAAATACTAAAGTACTAATTGGCACTTCAGGAATCTGTGCCGCTGTTGTCGTACAGAAACACTACTGAGTCGTCCTCGTTAGTTACAATGAGAATTTAATCGCTCTGAAAGAGCACACAAATGCAATAGTATATCCTACATAAGTTATATGACAAAGCGCTGTTTGCACAGTCGCCATTCGTAATCCGATTTTAGCTTTGAAGAAGTAATTGCCGCAGATTTGTCGGGTCAATGTATCAAATAATTTAATACTCTATTGACAGGCAACACATTCCTTTACGCACATATTACGTTTAGAATTATTGGATATATTTACAGGTTCTTTTTTATCATGAAAGAAAAAAGATCCGATATTTTGTGGCAAAGCTATTAAATTTAGTAAAAATATTGGTTTTAAAAATATTGAATAATAACAGGAATATTGAATAATAAAAGGAATAATAATGAATTTCGATATTTTTACGGATTTGCCTATTTTTATGATTTAGTATTGCAAATTTTAACATAACTTTGAAAGCGTTTTGTCTTGCTTACAGCTATTTACTGTACTTATCTAAAATATGTAGAGATGATTGGTTGAATTTTTCTGGTCGTGGCTTGTTTTCTCTACCGTGCAGAAAATATGCAAATAACGTGATCATCATGCTTATCGCGTTCGAGTTTCGAAACTTTTTTGATCACTCTCAGACGCGGCGTATTTGACGCGCGTAACGTTCAGAGAAGGACCAACATTCGTTCAAGTCCACGCGAAAGTTCACGATATTGGCATGGTACTTCGGTTAATAAGATGCAAAATACTTGGGAACTAGCCGTCGCCGAAGACGACAAGCGAACGAAGATCAATATGCATTCTGATCATGAAACGCAGTCTCGTAAGAATGACGTAATGTACTCGTAAGAATTACAATTGTATATAATTTTCAGAACGTACGCTAACTTAATTTTTGCTCTGAAAAAGGTATTATAAAACCCTCCCACGTGATATGTGGAAATTTCAATTTTTCTAGATTATATTAACAAAGGATTTGTGCGATATAAACTCGCAGTTTTTTGACATTTACCACACGTGTTTTAATTAAAATATTCTTTCATATAAATTAATAATTAGCATAAGCAAAAATTAAAAGTAATTTAGCTTAGCTTAGTTTTAGCTTTTATAATATACTTTGATGAGATCGTATAGTTATCGTCTGTAAAATATGATATCGCATTTTATTAATTTTATTGCTGTCTGATCAAATTTACTTTTGCGAACTTGCTTCCCTTTCATATAAAATCCGTTTTATTAAAAATCTCTCCCTCTCTCTTTTCTCTTTTCTATATTAAAAAAAAACTACGAATAAATAAATCATGAAATTGAATGTT